GGTTCAGGCAATTCTCCTGCCTCAGCCTCCTGAGTAGCTGGGACTACTGGCACGCGCCACCATGCCCAGCTAATTTTTGTATTTTTAGTAGAGACGGGGTTTCACCATGTTGACCAGGATGGTCTCGATCTCTTGACCTCGTGATCCACCCGTCTCGGCCTCCCAAAGTGCTGGGATTACAAGCGTGAGCCACCGCGCCCGGCCTATCTCCTGACTTTTTAATCTTACAGAATGTTCTGTGTTTCTGTGTAGCTTAAACACAAAAAAGCGGGTGGTGAAGAGGGAAAAAGGAAGACTTGGATCTTGTATAATTAGTTTTAGCTGTATACAGCTAACCAAATCTTGAGGTTAACTGAAACATCCAGGTTTTTTGTTTGCAACTAATGGAAGCATTTGACTTGCACTTATATTCCCTGGAGGATTCAAATGAGCCGAGAAGGCAGAAGGAGAATGCATGAAACTGCCACTAAGTCTTGCCCTTATCATACTTCTTTTTTCTTTTTGAGCCAGGGTCTTGTCTGTTGCCCAGGCTGGAGTACAGTGGCATGATCTGGGCTCACTACAGTTTTGACCTCCTGGGCTCAAGTGATTATCCCCTCTTTGCCTCCTGAGTAGCTGGGACTACATGTGTGTGCCACCACACCCGGCTAATTTTTTTTTGGTCAGAGCAGAAGAACTTGAAACCCAACTAATTAAACAACTTTTTTTTTCTGCTGGGCATGGTGGCTCATGCCTGTAATCCCAGCATTTTGGAGGCTGAAGCAGGAGGACTGCTTGAGGCCAAGAGTTCAATACCAAGATTCAGCTCAAACGGCAAGCTCCTCTCAGAACCCTTCCTAATGAGCCAGCCCTCAAGTCCTGACGTTTCCTTCTGAGATGGGGTCTCACTCTATTGCCCAGGCTGGAGTGCAGTGGCATGATCTGGGCTCACTGCAATCTTTGCCTCCCAGGTTCAAGCCATTCTTGTGCCTCAGCCTCCCCAGCAGCTAGGATTAAAGGTGAAAGCCACCACGCCCAGCTAATTTTTGTATTTTTAGTAGAGACGGGTTTTTACCATGTTGGCCAGGCTGGTCTCAAACTCCTGACCTCAAGTGATCCACCCCTCTTGGCCTTCCAAAGTGCTGGGATTACAGGTGTGAGCCACCGCGCCCGGCCCTCTGTTGAACTTTGCCCCTTACCTCTCCTGGCACACTAATGCCACTGTACCCTGAGGAGGTTATCTGTGTATGCATCAGGGGCCTCTCAGGATAATGCTGTAACTCCTCCCAGGTCATGTTGTTCAGCTAGGCGAGTGGCAGAAAGGGAAAATGAACCTTCCAGGCCCAGAAAACTTCCTTTCTGTTCATTGCCTAACCACAACCATTTTTCTGTTTGTTTGAGACAGAATCTTGCTCTGTTGCCCAGGCTGGAGTGCAGCAGTGCGATTTCGGCTCACTGCACCCTCCACCTCCCTGGTTCAAGTGATTCTCCTGCCTCAGCCTCCCAGGTAGCTGGGATTACAGGCCCTGCCACCAGGCCTGGCTAATTGTTTTTGTATTTTGTAGAGATGGGGTTTCACCATGTTGAGTAGGCTGGTCTGGAACTCCTGACCTTAGGTGATTTGCCCATCTTGGCCTCCCAAAGTGCTGGGATGACAGGCAGGAGCCACCGCGCCCAGCCCGCGCCTTCCTTTGTCCATTATTCTCGAGTTGTTTTGGGGATCTGTGTATTATAGGTGCCACACTTTGGTGGTTGTGTTTGTTGCAAATGTACTATTCCTGTTTGTGTGTTGCCTTACGTGAAAAATTTTATAGTCACAGGCATGCCTATACCTATTAGAGTGTGAGCTCCTTCAAAGAGCTACAGAGGGATATCCTGACTTGCTCATCTTCTGAGAAGTGTCTTGACTGTTTTACTACTTGTTAACATTGATGAGAAGTCGGTAGAATAAAAACTGTCAGAGCGGTGTTGAGTACACACTGATATGACTAATGACAAGGTCAATCACAAAGAAAACATATGTTAGAGCTTCATGTGCCCACTTGCCTCACAATCATGTTAAATCCATGAGTTAAGGAGGTAGGAATTTGAGGCAGCCTTAGAACTTCCTTTCCATTTTCCCAGGCTATCCAAAGCCGGCCAATCACTTCCAGCACATTTAAATCATCATCCAACACCTATTCCACTGAATTTTAGTTTCGAGAGTTCAAAACCCTAGGATGAAGTTTGGAAATCCCCTGGTATGGCACGCTGGGTCCTCAAAGTTAGCCCAAGAGGCGCCTCCCTTGCCAGGTGTGGTCAATAATAAAAGCAGGAAGAGAGCTTAAGGCTTCAACGTGCTTTTCTAGTTATTTTAGTTATTTTTAGTTATTCAGATAGTGCAAAAAAGTTGCAGATGCCTTCTCTCCCAGCCCCACCCACTGTTCATGGGAGGGTATGGAGTAGCAGTGCACGTTACCAGGAGCAACTGTGGGGGTTTATGCCCTTGCATGCTGTTACTTGTATTTCTCTTTCCCTCTCTCCCTCCATTCCCTCTCCCACCCCACCCCCATCTATTTTTTGAGGGAGTCTCACCTTTGTCCAGGCTGGAGTGTAGTGGCGTGATCATGGCTCACTGCAACCTCCACCTCCCTGGCTCAAGTAATCCTTGCTCCGTAGCCTCCTGAGTAGCGGGGACTACAGGCACACACCACCACGCTCAGCTAATTTTTGTTGTTGAAATAGGGTTTCTCCATGTTGGCCAGGCTGGTCTCAAACTCCTAGGCTCAAGCCATCTGCCTGCCTTGGCCTCCCAAAGTGCTGGGATTATAGGTGTGAGCCACCGCGCCCAGCCACTCTACATTTTCACATCATTCCAGCTTCACCACTTAATGACCACTCACTTGGGTAACTTGCTTCTCTCCTGTGCCTCGGTTTTCTCATCCATAACATGGGGCTACTCACAGTATTGACCTCATAGGGTTTGTCTTAGTCTATTTCATGCTGCCATAACAGAATAACTAGAACTAGATAATTCATAAAAAAGAGAAATTGATTTCTCACAGTTCTGGAAGCTGGGATGTCCAAGTTCAAGGTGCTGGAAGGCATGGTTGTCCGGAGAGAGCTGCATTTGGAGGAATGCTGTGTCCTGACATGGACGGCGTGAGGTAGAAGGTGGAAAATGGAAAGGCAAGTGAGCCCCGTGCTGGGTGAAGCTTCTTTTATGAGGCCCTTAATCTCGATCACGAGGAAGGAGCCCGCCTCGCCTAATTACCTCTCACAGGCCCCAACTGTTAATTCTCTCACATTGGCAGCACCTGAATTTTGGAAGGGACACATTTAAAACAGCAGGTTGTCCTGACAAAGGAAGAAAGTGAGGGCTGGGTGTGGTGGCTCACACTTATAATCCTAACACTTGGGGAGACTGAGGTAGGCAAAACTGCTTGAGCCCAGGAGTTTGAGACCAGCCTGGGCGACATGGCAAAACCCCATCTCTGTAAAAAGAAAAAAAAATTAGGCATGGTAGCATACACCTGGAGTCCCAGCTACTATGGAGGCTGAGGTAGGATGACCGCTTAAGCCTGAGAGTTGAGGCTTCAGTGACCTGAGATCGAGCCACTGCATTCCAGCCTGAGAGGCAGATTGAGACCCTGTCTTAGAAACAGGCAGGGCGCAGTGGCTCACACCAGTAATCCCAGCACTATGGGAGGCTGAGGCGTGTGGATCACTTGAGGTCCGCAGTTCGAGACCAGCCTGGCCAACATGGCAAAACCTCGTCTCTACTAAAAATACAAAAATTAGCCAGGTGTGGTGGTGCACACCTGTAATCCCAGCTACTGGGGAGGATTAGACAGGAGAATCGCTTGAACCCAGGCGGCGGAGGTTGCAGTGAGCTGAGATTGTGCCACTGCACTCCAGCCTTGGCGACAAAGTGAGACAAAGTGTCTCAAAAAAAAAAAAGTCTAATGTAATCATTACACATTTCTCCCCCTCATACCAATGTACTGCTAATCCACACACATATATATGTAGTTTCTTTTTTCTTTCTCTTTTTTTGTGTAGTTTTTCTTCCTTCCCTTCCCTCTCTCTCTCCCTGCTTCTCACTTCTTTCATTTTAAATAAAAATGGATTCATATTTACTTGTTTTTTATCCGTTAACAATATATCATGGATATCTTTCTGAGTCACTGTGTATAGTTAATTCGTTTTAATTTTTTTAATTTTTAAAATTTATCTGAGATAGAGTCTTGCTCTGTCACCCAGACTGGAGTGCAGTGTGGCAATCACAGATCACTGCAGCCTCAACCTCCTGGATTCAAGTGATCCTCCCATCTCTCAGCCTCCGGAGTAGTTGAGACTACAGGCTAATTTTGTATTTTTTGTAGAAAAGTGGTTTTGCTTTTGTCATGTTGCCTAGGTGGTCTCGAACTCCTGGGCTCAAGCAATCCTCCCGCCTTGGCCTCCCAAAGTGCTGGGATTAGAGGCGAGAGCAACGGTGCCTAGTCAACAGTCTCTAAAAAATTTTTTTAGTGATAAAGTGTCACTGCGCTGCCCCGGCTGGTCTCCAACTCCTGGCCTCAAGGGCTCTTCCCACCTCAGCCTCCCAAGTAGCTGGATTATAGGCTCGAGCCACTGTGCCCAGCCAGTTAACTTATTCTTTTTTTTTTTTAACTTTTATTTTTATTTATTTTATTTTTCTGAGACAGGGTCTTACTCAGTCGCCCAGGCTGGAGTGCAATGGCATGATCTCGGCTCACTGTAACCTCCGCTTCCGGGGTTCAAGCAATTCTCCTGCCTCGGCCTCCCAAGTAGTTGGGACTACAGTCACTTGCCACCATGTCTGGCTAATTTTTGTATTTTTGTAGAGACAGCGTTTTACCATGTTGGCCAGGCTGGTCTTGAATTCCCGACCTCAGGTGATCTGCCGCCTCGGCCTCCCAAAGTGCTGGGATTACAGGAGTGAGCCACGGCGCCCAGTCAACTCATTCTTGTTAACAGCAAAATATCCTGTAGTGTGGATACACCCATAATTTATTAAAATGGTCCCCATAAAGTCAGGTTATATCTAATTTTTGCCAGTGAAAAGCATGGTGTAATACACATCCTTGCTCTTTTTTTTTTTTTTTTTTTTGAGACGGAGTTTCACTCTTATTACCCAGGTTGGAGTGCAATGGTGCGATCTCGGCTCACCGCAACCTCCGCCTCCTGGGTTCAGGCAATTCTCCTGCCTCAGCCTCCTGAGTCGCTGGGATTACAGGCACGTGCCACCATGCCCAGCTAATTTTTTGTAGTTTTAGTAGAGACGGGGTTTCACCATGTTGACCAGGATGGTCTCGATCTCTTGACCTCGTGATCCACCCGCCTCGGCCTCCCAAAGTGCTGGGATTACAGGCGTGAGCCACCGCGCCCGGCCCACATCCTTGCTCTTATAGCCTGATGCTTTTAGTCTGTAGAGCAGATTTCCCCAAATTGGAGAGGGAAATAAAAGATTTATGTGTCTTTAAAGTTTTAAGAGATTCTGCCTGATTACTTTCCCTAAAGGTTGAGCCAATTCATATTCCCACCAGTAATACACCAATTTTTCTGTTAGTACAATCTTTTTTTTTTTTTTTTTGGGACGGGGTTTCACTCTTGTTACCCAGGCTGGGGTGCAATGGTGCGATCTCGGCTCACCGCAACCTCCGCCTCCTGGGTTCAGGCAATTCTCCTGCCTCAGCCTCCCGAGTAGCTGGGATTACAGGCACACGCCACCATGCCCAGCTGAATTTTTGTATTTGTAGTAGAGACGGGGTTTCACCATGTTGACCAGGATGGTCTCGATCTCTTGACCTCGTGATCCACCCACCTCGGCCTCCCAAAGTGCTGGGATTACAGGCTTGAGCCACCGCGCCCGGCCTCTGTTAGTACAATCTTAATAGCCCTGGATGTTATTTGTTTTACATTTCTTGGTGCCAATCTCATGGGTAAACACCTCGTTCCAAGTTTGCTTTCCCTGACAGGCCACGTAGAGCTTTGTTCCATTTGTTGGTCGCCATTCGCCTTTCCTGCTCTGCGAACAGTGTGTGCAGGTCCCTGACCCACTTTCCATTGCACCATCTGTTCTTTTCTAATTCTTTGTGGGCACTCACTGGGAGTGTAACTAACTCTGTGATGAGATGTGCAAATTTCTTCTCCCAGTGGGTATCTTTTGACTTTGTTTATGGTGCTTATTGCTAAACAATTTTTTTTTTTTTTTGAGACGATGTCTTGCTTTTGTCGCCCAGGCTGGAGTGCAGTGGAACAATCTTGGCTTACCACAACCTCCACCTCCCAAGTTCAAGCAATTCTCCTGCCTCAGCCTCCAAGTAGCTGGAATTACAGGTGTGCACCACCATGCTGGGCTGATTTTTGTATTTTTAGTAGAGATGGGGGTCACCATGTTGGCCCGGATGGTCTCGATCTTTTGACCTCGTGATCTGCCCACCTCGGCCTCCCAAAGTGCTGGGATTACAGGCTTGAGCCACCGCGCCTGGACGAATTTTTTTTTTATAAAGGACTCTCTACCCTGAGGTTATACAAATTCTACTGTTCCTTCTTTATTATTTAAATAGTTACATTTAAAAAATTTTGATCTTTGATCTACTGGAAATTATGACTGCATGTGATGTGTTAATGGGGTAATTAAAACCAAAAACTTGGCCGGGCGCGGTGGCTCAAGCCTGTAATCCCAGCACTTTGGGAGGCCGAGGCGGGTGGATCACGAGGTCAAGAGATCGAGACCATCCTGGCCAACATGGTGAAACCCCGTCTCTACTAAAAATACAAAAAATTAGCTGGGCATGGTGGTGTGTGCCTGTAATCCCAGCTACTCAGGAGGCTGAGGCAGGAGAATTGCCTGAACCCAGGAGGCGGAGGTTGCGGTGAGCCGAGATCGCGCCATTGCACTCCAGCCTGGGTAACATGAGTGAAACTCCGTCTCAAAAAAAAAAAAAAAAAAACCAAAAACTTTTTTGGTGACTACAATAAACACTCTAAAAACTGCACAGTTCATTTTTTAGAGACAGGTTCTCGCTCTGTCACTCAGTGGTTCAATCATAGCTCCCTGCAGCCTCGAACTCCCAGGCTCAAGCAGTCCTCCCACTTCAGCCTCCCCAATACCTGAGATTACAGGTGTGAGTCACCAGCCCAGCTAGTTTTTTGTATTTTTTTGTAGAGATAGGTTTCGCCATGTTGCCCAGGCTGGTCTTGAACTCCTGACCTCAGGTGATCCGCTCACCTTGACCTCCCAAAGTGTTGGGATTACAGGTGTGAGACATGGCGCTCAGCCATCAACACCGTTTATTAAATCAGCCACTGATTTAAATGCTTCCTTTAATCTTCGGCACTTTTAAGGGGAAAATATATTTCTGGCAGCAGAGGATGGATTGCAATAACCTAACGTCTAACAAAGCTGCCCCTTCCTTTACAGACTGCGGCTCCCCTGTAGCTGAAGGTTTGCTGGTTGGTAATGGGTTTTCCCCGTATGCTTTGTGTGTGTCTCGGTAGGCAGAAAAGCACTGATCGTCCTGGCTCACTCAGAGAGGACGTCCTTCAACTATGCCATGAAGGAGGCTGCTGCAGCGGCTTTGAAGAAGAAAGGATGGGAGGTGGCCGAGTCAGACCTCTATGCCATGAACTTCAATCCCATCATTTCCAGAAAGGACTTCACAGGTAGGAGCTCCTCCTCCCCTCTTTAATCAGTTCTTTGTGGATCTCCTTGCCTGTGGGTCCTCTGGCCCAGCCTCGGCCCCGCTGGCCCCAGCCTCTCTTTTTCTTCTCTGCAGGTAAACTGAAGGACCCTGAGAACTTTCAGTATGCTGCTGAAGCTACTCTGGCTTATAAAGAAGGCCGTCTGAGCCCGGATGTTGTGGCTGAACAAAAGAAGCTGGAAGCCGCAGACCTTGTGATATTCCAGGTATGGGGAGGACATCAGAAGGGGTGTCAGGGACACTTGCCTGCTTATTGTCCTACACCTGTCACCTAATTAGCTATGGGATCTTAGAACAGTCAGCCACTCGACTGCATTCTTTTTTTTTTTTTTTTTTGAGACGGAGTTTCGCTGTTGTTGCCCAGATTGGAGTGCAATGACACGATCTCGGCTCACCGCAACCTCCGCCTCCTGGGTTCAAGCAATTCTCCTGCCTCAGCCTCCCGAGTAGCTGGGACTACAGGCACGCACCATCATGCCCAGCTAATTTTTTGTATTTTTTTAGTAGAGACGAGGTTTCACCTTGTTGACCAGGATGGTCTCGATCTCTTGACCTCGTGATCCACCCGCCTCGGCCTCCCAAAGTGCTAGGATTATAGGCGTGAGCCACCGCGCCCGGCCTCGACTGCATTCTTTACAAATAAGGGTGATTGCTTGAAAGGTGCAGTATTACATGGATTTCACAGATATTGGGAATCTGGTTGTATTATGGTTATGTATAGAAATGCAGCTGCAAAGATGATGTTCCACACTTGAACTTGCTTTCTGCCACATACCTCGTCTCCCCTTCAGTTGGAGATTCCTGGAGGACTCTCTCAACATTCGCTGTTTTCCTCCTTTCTCCACAAGAATCCCAAATCCTTTGTAGAATGATGCATGAGACGTTGACTTCCCTGCCATCGTAGCCTGCCAGCTGAAGGGGGCTTTGAAACCCTGCTGAATGTGTTTCTGCAGCAATCCATGGCCTTTCTTCTTCGGGAAGCTGCCTTACCGTTTAGCAGACAATGCTGGGATTGTGTGGGCATCTCGTCAGTGATGTTTCCCATAAATGTGACTGTACTCGATGACACTGCTTTTGCCAATTCCAGCCAGTCTTTGGATATTGAACATAGAATGTGTATGATGCTGGAAACCACGAGGAGGGTGGTACAGGCTGCGGTGTTTTCTTACTGTTGTTCTTATTCAATCAGCTACAAAGCATCCAATCCTTGAAATCCTTTCTTCAACCCTCAGGCCTGTTGCTAGGAAGCACATGAATCTTCAAAGCCACATGCCACTAGCCAGTACCCCAAAGGATGCCTTTAACAAAGAATTTTTTTAAAAAATTGGACACAAGTTCTCACCGTCAGTCAGGCTGGAGCACAGTGGTGTGATCTCCGCCCACTGCTGCCTCAACCTCCTGGGCTCAAGTGATCCTCCCACCTCAGTCTCCCGAATAGCTGGGACTATCGGCGCACCCCACCATGCCCTGCTAATTTTTTATTTTTTGTACAGATGGGGTCCCACCATGCTGCCCAGGCTGGTCTCAAACTCTTGGGCTCAAGTGATCCACCTGCCTCAGCCTCCCAAAGTGCTAGGATTATAGGCATGTGCCTGTCATATCTTTATATCGTGAATCAAGGATAAGAACTCCTGGGGTAGTCCTTACTCTGCTTTTATTAGGATAAGAGGTCAGACAAGACTTTCTCATGGAAAGTCCCTGATAAACGTTAGTCACACTAATTATTATTTATTATTATTTTTATTTTTGAATTTTTATTTATTTATTTATTTAATTTTTGAGGCAGAGTCTTGCTCTGTTGCCCAGGCAGGAGAGCAATTGTGTGATCTCGGCTCACTGCAACCTTTGCCTCCTGGATTTAAGCGATTCTCCTGTCTGAGACCCCCAAGTAGCTGGGACTACAGGCACATGCCACCACACTCAGCTAATTTTTGTATTTTTAGTAGAGACGGGGTTTCGCCATGTTGGCCAGGCTGGTCTCAAACTCCTGACCTCAGGTGATCTCCCTGCCTCAGCCTCCCAAAGTGCTGGGATTACAGGCATGAGCCACTGTGCCCAGCCAACAGTCACATTGTTGATACCACACCTACTAAAGCAAACTCTTGGGAAAATACTGATTGAGGCATCACACCCTGAGGCAAACCTTGTTTACAATCCTTGCTATTTAGACTTTGCTGCCAAATGTGACTTCATACAAACAAATTTCATATAAGCAAGTCATCTGTGTATGTAGCTTTGCTTGGGGCCCACTTGATATTTGCATTTTCAGGCCAAAAGAAGACTGTCAAGTTGGCTGACCAAGGACAATAATGATCTCTTTCCTTAAAGTGCTAACACTTCCAGGAGGAATGGGAAAGGCTGAGGGGCTCCCCTCATTGCCATCATGGACAGCAGCTCAGCAACCCAGCTGCCTTCTGGGCTGGGGGAGCCTCTGGTCTGACCTCGATGATGTCTTCTGTCCCGCAGTTCCCCCTGCAGTGGTTTGGAGTCCCTGCCATTCTGAAAGGCTGGTTTGAGCGAGTGTTCATAGGAGAGTTTGCTTACACATACGCTGCCATGTACGACAAAGGACCCTTCCGGGTAGGTGGACAGTTCGGAATGCTCTGACTGGCTTCTGGGTGGAGTCTGTCCTGATGCAGGGTTTTGAGCACAATTAGATCCTAAGCTGAGGCCCTGGGACCTTTGGGAGAAATGCATGATCAAGTTTTTACAGATGGAATGACATGATGTTTGGGATTTGTTTTAAAATGCTCCAGAGGCTGAGTGTGGTGGCTCACACCTGTAATCTCAGCAATTTGGGAGGCCGAGGCAGGCAGATCACTTGAGGTCAGCCTGGCTAACATGTCGAAACCCAGTCTCTACTAAAAATACAAAAATTAGCTGGGCATAGTGGTGGGCGCCTATAACCCCAGCTACTCGGGAGGCTGAGGCAGGAGAATTGCTTGAACCCAGGAGGCAGAGATTGCAGTGAGCTGAGATTGCGCCACTGCACTCCAGCCTGGCGCCTGGTGCCAAATCAAGACTCTGTCTCAAAAAAAAAAAAGAAAGAGCTTGTCCTATGCCATGCCTAGCACGTGGGAGGATGGGTAAGAACCATCAATCACTCCATCTAGGCAGCACAGCCAGCACTCATTTTGGATGTGGTGACAGCCTTGCCCTGAGCCACACGTGCGGGTTTGGAATCCTTGGTTTGCCCCAGGCCGCCTGTCTGTAGACGGTCTAGGCTGGTACTTCTGCAGAGTCATACTGTGTAGCTCCGAGGAGCCAAAGTATGAAGTAATATAAACAGCAAATAGGAGGGACTTGTGTGTTCTTTTCCCTGGAGCTGTTTCATTAACTTCTTGTCACCAAGGGGATGTGGGGGGAATGAAGTGTGTTGTTTTTTTCTTTTGCAGAGTAAGAAGGCAGTGCTTTCCATCACCACTGGTGGCAGCAGCTCCATGTACTCTCTGCAAGGGGTCCATGGGGACATGAATGTCATTCTCTGGCCAATTCAGGTACCTCATTTTCTTTTCTTTTTCTTTTTTCTTTGAGATGGAATCGCTCTGTTACCCAGGCTGGAGTACAGTGGCACCATCTTGGCTCACTGCCACCTCCGCCTGCTGGGTTAAAGCAATTCTCCTGCGTCAGCCTACTGAGTAGCTGCGATTACAGGGACCTGTCACCATGCTCGGCTAATTTTTATATTTTTAGTAGAGACGGGGTTTCACCACGTAGGCCAGGCTGGTCTCAAACTCCTGATGTCAAATGATCCTCCCGCCTCAGCCTCCCAAAGTGCTGGGTTTACAGGGGTGAGCCACTGCGCCCAGCCAGGTACCTCATTTTCAATGAACCTTCAGGGGAATTCATGAATTGAGCCTTCTGTGGGGTTCAAAGCATCAAGATAGCAGCTGAAAACAGAACTTGAGTTGTGAAGATGGAAGCATCATCATGATTCCGAACTACGGGAGCTTCCTTTAGCAGCTTGCCTGCCTTCCTGGGTGCCTATGCATGTAGAAAACGCCCACATGTGTGCATGTGAAAACAGCATTCTCTCCCAGCCAAGGATGTGTGTGGATTTCTACCCTCGATTTGTACAGCCGTGGGCCCTGGTCTCGCCAGATGACCTGACATCTCCCTCCAGCCTTCCTGTCCTTCTCCAAGTTGCTGATACAGTCCCATAGACTATTAGAGCCGAAGACAATTTAAGAAATGATTTATGGGGAGGCTGAGTCAGAAGGATCACTTGAGCCCAGGAGTTTGAGACCAGCCTGGGCAACGTACACAAAAAAAAAAAAAAAAAAAAAAATTAGCTGGGTGTAATGGCACACACCTGTGTTCTAGCTACTTGGGAGGCTAAGGCGAGAGACCCAGGAGTTCGAGGCTGTAGTGAGCTATGATCACACCACTGCATTCCCGCCTGGGACACAGGGCGAAACCCTGTTTCGAAGAAAACAGAAATGATTTAGTCCAGCCTGTTTAGACATGGATAAAACTGAAGCCGGGGTGGGCTTATTGGTGTCACCAGACCCTCGGGATAATTTCTGTAAAGAGGGTGGTTGGAGAGTGGCCCATGAGTGGCCATGTATGAAAATCATTTATCAAGACTCAACTGGGCCTGTAATCCCTGCACTTTGGGAGACCAGCCTGGCCAGCATGGTGACACTCTGTCTCTACTGAAGTTACAAAAATTAGCTGGGCATGGTGGCACATGCCTGTAGAACCAGTTACTCAGGAGGCTGAGGCATGAGAATCGCCTGAACCTGGGTGGTGGAAGCTTCAGTGAGCCGAGATCATGCCACAGCCCTCCAGCCTGTAAGCGAGCCTCTATCTCAAAAAAAAAAAAAAAAAAGCAAGACTCATCTGGTTATATGGTGAGGCAGAGAAATGCACACACATGCGTTGGCAAGAGTCACCTGCCAAGAAACCGAGACTCCCTAAAGTAATAGAATTTCCAGCCTTCTTGGCAAAGGATTCAGGTTGGCACAGTTTCAATGGTTTATACATTTAAACCCTTGAAAAGGCTAAAAACAGCTGAAAAAGCTAAAGTTGGTAACAGCTAGGTAGAGGGTAGGCAGAGACCGTGGCTCCGAAATGATTCGCTGGGTGCCTGAGGCCTCCCTATCAGAGTGTCTTACTGGGCAGCCCAGACCAGCTTCTGTTGTTTATAGTACAACTGCATGGAATTCGTTGACTTACCTCTCTGTGCTTTCTGTATCCCCAGAGTGGCATTCTGCATTTCTGTGGCTTCCAAGTCTTAGAACCTCAACTGACATACAGCATTGGGCACACTCCAGCAGACACCCGAATTCAGATCCTGGAAGGATGGAAGAAACGCCTGGAGAATATTTGGGATGAGACACCACTGTATTTTGCTCCAAGCAGCCTCTTTGATCTAAACTTCCAGGCAGGATTCTTAATGAAAAAAGAGGTGCAGGATGAGGAGAAAAACAAGAAATTTGGCCTTTCTGTGGGCCATCACTTAGGCAAGTCCATACCAACTGACAACCAGATCAAAGCCAGAAAATAAGTTTCCTAAGACTGGATCTCCTCATAATATGTTATCAGATCTGGGTATCTTTCCAAGCTTCCCTAACTCACTTTAGTTTTTAAGATTTGGGTTTTTTTTTTTTTCCACAAGGTATAAATAGGAGAGGGAATCGACTATATTCATGCATTTTTGGATCATTTTATTATTGAATGTCACTGATTGTTATGATTACTATCATGGCATATAACTAAAATCCGACTTGGCTCAAGAGGCCACTTAGGGAAAGATGTAGAAAGAAGCTACAAAATGTTCTTTAAAGGCATCTACACAATTTAATTCTCTTTTTAGGGCTAAAGTTTTAAGGCAAAGTCTGGCTAGGTATCATTCAACTCTCCAATGTTCTGTTTCTATTCATCACCTCTCTGGAGTTTATGGCAGAAGGGAATTGCTCAGAGAAAGAAAAGACTGAATCTATCTGCCTTAAGGGACTTAACTTGTTTGGCAGTTAGTAATCTAATGCTTGTTTATGATATTTCTTGCTTTCAATTACAATGCAGTGATCAATATGCCTTACGTGAATATCACTCTTCAACTTTCATTGTTTGTATACAGTACATATAGATACCTTGAAAGGAAGAGCTGCCGGTCGCAGTGGCTCACGCCTGTAATCCTAGCACTTTGGGAGGCCGAGGCGGGTAGATCACGAGGTCAAGAGATCGAGACCATTCTGGTCAACATGGTGAAACCCCATCTCTACCAAAA